GTCCTCGGCGGGCCGCATGTGGCCCGCGGGCCGTAGTTTGAGGACCCCTGTTATAGAATGTCTCCTTTTCAGACACCAAACTGCCAAAAACAAATACTTTCTGTCACAAATACAACTTTCCTCCCTAGGTTATGTGAACTATAATGGTTATTGGGTCAAAATGTATTTTGTTTAAAATTTACGAATTTCTAAAAAATTTATTTTTATCATTTGTTAATAATCATATATATATAGTACTTTATTATACAAAATGAGTATTTAACATATCGTTTTAGGATTTGTAGAGAGCACAGTAAAAGGCTCTTCCAGTGAATTTGCTCTTCCTAATTTGAAAACTGTATGGAACCGTTGGGAAAAAGATGGTATAAATGTATGGAAGGTCAATAGTCTACTTTATTTAGCTACATGTGTTAGTTGAGCTTCAGTTATGAAGCGTGTCTTTGGCAAAAATAGGTGGGGTTAGCCTGGTACAGGTATGTTAGAAGAAACCTACAGCACCACCTTTGGGTGAAAATAGTAAATATTTATCATCATTACATATTTACCTGGTTTAAAAAACAAATGACAAAATGTTTTAAATTTTTTTTAGTTCTTGACATAATTAAAAAGTATATAAATAAAATATATTTATCCGCCATCTAAGAAAGAAATTCTGTATATACACACATACATATAACACACACACACACACACACACACACACACACACACACACACACACACACACACACACACACACACACAATATTGCCAAAAGTATTGGGATGCCTGCCTTTACACGCACATGAATTTTAATGGAATCCCAGTCTTAGTCTGTACAGTTCAATATTGAGTTGTCCCACCTTTGCAGCTATAACAGCTTCAGAGCCTTCTGAGAAGGTTGTCCACAAGGTTTAGGAGTGTGTTTATGGGAATGTTTGACCATTCTTCCAGAAGCACATTTGTGAGGTCAGGCACTGATGTCGGACGAGAAGGCCTGGCTCGCAGTCTCCGCTCTAATTCATCCTAAAGGTGTTCTATCGGGTTTGAGGTCAGGACTCTCTGAAGGCCAGTCAAGTTCCTCCACCCCAAACTCACTCATCCATGTCTTTATGGACCTTGCTTTGTGCACTGGTGTGCAGTCATGTTGAAACAGGAAGCGGCCATCCCCAAACTGTTCCCACAAAGTTGGAAGCATGAAATTGTACAAAATGTCTTGGTATGCTGACTCCTTAAAAGTTCCCCTCACTGGAACTAAGGGGCCAAGCCCAACCCCTGAAATTGGCCCTAGTATGTGTATGTATGAATGTGAGTTATTGACCTTAGATTGTACACTCCTTGAAGGTTAAGGACTGATGTGAATGTACAATATATACATGTAAAGCACTGCGTACATTGACAGCACTATATAAGTACCTGAAATAGATAAAATAAAAATAAATTACGTCTTTGTGTACAGAGCCCTGTGTTGTTTGTAAGCACAAAACAGTGTGATTGGACACAGTCAATCAGCAGGTCTCAGCCATAAATCATTGGATGGGACCTGCTGACAAAATCCTGCTGTGTCCAACCACAGTGCAGGACAGCAGGGGTCGCATGCACTCAAAACTCGCAGTCATGCAGTCTCCGTTCTAATTCATCGCAAGGGTGTTCTATCTGGTTGAGGTCAGGACTCTGTGCAGGCCAGTCAAGTTCCTCCACTCCAAACTCGCTCATCCATATCTTTTTGGACCTTGCTTTGTGCAGTGGTGCGCAGCCATGTTGGAACAGGAAGGGGCCATCCCCAAACTGTTCCCACAAAGTTGGGAGCATGAAATTGTCCAAAATGTCTTGGTATGCAAACACCTTAAGAATTCCCTTCACTGGAACTAAAAATTCATAGAACTAGAAAACAACCCCACACCATAATCCCCCCTCCTTCAAATTTGACACTTGGCACAATGCAGTCAGGCAAGTACCGTTCTGGCAACCGCCAAACCCAGACATGTCCATCAGGTTGTCAGACAGAGAAGCGTGATTGGTTACTCCAGAGAACACGTCTCCACTGCTCTAGAGTTCAGTGGTGGCGTGCTTTACACCACTGCATCCAACGGTTTGCATTGCACTTGGTGATGTAAGGCTTGGATGCAGCTGCTCGGCCATGGAAACCCATTCCATGAAGCTCTCTATGTGTTGTCGTTGTGCTAAACTGAAGGCCACACAAAGTTTGGAGGCCTGTAGCTACTGACTGCGCAGACAGTTGGCGACTTCTGCCCTCTGTGCTCTTCAGTATACGCTGACCCCGCTCTGTCATTTTATGTGGCCTACCACTTAGTGGCTGAGTTGCTGTTGTTCTCAGTTGCTTCCACTTTGCTATAATACCACTAACAGTTGACCATAAAATATTTAGTAGCAAGGAAAATTTCACGGATGGACTTGTTGCACAGGTGGCAACCTATCACAGTACCACGCTTGAATTCACTGAGCTCCTGAGAGCAACCCATTCTTTAAAAAAACATTTGTAGAAGCAGTCTGCATGCCTAGGTGCTTGATTTTTTACACCTGGGACCATGGGAGGTGATTGGAACACCTGAATCCAATGATTTGTAGGGGGGGTGTCCCAATACTTTTGGCAATATAGTGCATATATAAAATTACCATTTATAATCTTGCTATGCAGCACAGTGTACATCATTAATCATCAATCCTCACATAGTTTTTTTTCATAAAACATCTTCAAGCTATAGTTATATAATTAATATGGGCTAAAAGTGCACACTCTCAGGTTTAATTTGAGGATATGGTATGTACATTTGTATGTACATCCAAATTGGAGGAAGGGTTTAGGAATTACAGCTCTTAAGAGTAGCTATCACCCCTTTTTCAAGGGACCAAATTGGACAAATTTAAACAAAAGCTGTTTCATGGCCAGGTGTGGGCTACTCCTTCATTATTTCTTCATAAATTAAGCAGGTAAAAGGTCTGGAGTTGATTCTAAGTGTGGTATTTGCATTTGGAATCTATTGCTGTGATCCTACATCATGCGTTCATAGTAGCTGTCTATGCAAGTGAAACAGGCAATTGTAAGGCTTCAAAAAACAAAACAAATCCATCAGAGAGATAGCAGCAACATTAGGAGCCAAATCAACAGTTTGGTACATTCTGAGGAAAGAAGAACGCACTGGTGAGCTCAGCAAGATAAAAATGCATGGATGTCCACGGAAGACTACAGTGGTGGATGATCGCAGGATCCTCTCTATGGTAAAGAAAAACCCATTCACAACATCCAGACAAGTGAAGGACACTCTCCAGGAGGTAGGCGTATCATTGTTAAAGTCTACAATCAAGAGAAGACTTCATGAGAGCAAATACAGAGGGTTCACTACAAGGTGCAAACCATTCATAAGCCTGCAGAATAAAAAACCAGATTAGACTTTGCCAAAAAAAATCTAAAAAAAGCCAGACCACTTCTGGAAAAAGCATTCTTTGGACAGATGAAACTAAGATTAATCTGTACCAGAATTACGGGAAGAAAAAGTGTGGAGAAGGCTTGGAACAGCTCATGATTCAAAGCACAAAACGTCATCTGTAAACATGGTGTAGGCAGTGTGATGGCATGGGCATGCATGGCTTCCAGTGGCACTGGGTCATTGTTGTTTATTGATGTGACAGAAGCAGTCAGATGAATTCTGCAGTGTTTAGAGATATACTGTCAGCCCAGATTCAGCCAAATGCAGCAAAGTTGATTGGACGGTGCTTCACAGTAGAGATGGACAATGATTAGAGATGAGCGAATTATTCAAAAATTCGGTTCGGCTGATTCGCCGAATTCGCCGAATAAATTCGCTTCGAGCCAAATATATTCGCTGCGAATTTAACTTATAAAAAGGGTGTTTCTAGGCTTCAGAGAGCCTTTATATATTAGTGCAGAACACTGTACCTTTAATTTAAATGCCCTTGGAGTCTGCTGGGGAAGAGAAATAATACTGTCAGTCAGTATGACATGCAGATGAGTGCCGTCGATCTTAGAATCACCGCACACTTCACTCATTTGGGCAGTCACGGGGCCAAAACCAGAGTGTGGAGCCACAGTGTGGCGGTGGAGGCAGCAGCAATGGGAGGCCATACAGCACCCTATGACAAAATGGAACCCACCAGCAGTGTGAGGAGACCTGAAAGTGGCACATGGCAGAGTGTGGCGATGGAGACAGCAGCAATGGGAGGCCGTACAGGGACCCATGACACACTCTGGACCTGGCAGCAGCATGAGGAGGCGGTACAGGGGCCCATGACAGATTACGGGCCTGGCAGCAGCATGAGGAGTCGGTACGGGGGCCCATGGCAGATTACGGGCCTGGCAGCAGCATGAGGAGGCGGTACAGGGGCCCATGGCAGAGTGGCGGAGCGTAAGCAGCTAAAATTGAAGGCCATACAGAGGCCTATGTTAAAAAGTCCCCCCAGCAGCAGCGTGGGGAGACGACTATCAAGAGTCCAATGGCAGAGTGGCGGAGCAGAAGCAGCTTCAATTGAAGGCCATACACAGGCCTAGGTTTAAAAGTCCCTCACAGTTAATTCCAATAACGAACTCTACTCCTCCATGCAATCTACTTACGAGACCCTGGGCAGGTCTGGGTCCAATTTGTGGTAGAGATTGGTTTTGTTCAGCCATGCTTGAGCGAGTAATAACAGGTCTGTGCTGCCCTTTGGTGTCTGGCTTAATGCGCACAACACTGAACGTCCCAGCGTTTGTCAACGATTTGCCGTTAAGTGATGCAAACCCGCTGAACCACGTTCATGAGGAGCTGGTACAGGGGGCCATGAATCAGTATGGACCTGGCAGCAGCGTGAGCAGACGACAGAGGCACATGGCGCAGGGTGGCGGTGTAGGCAGCATTATTCTGAAGCCATACACAGGCCTAGGTTAAAAAGCAGAAGCCGTCAGCAGCGTGAGCAGACGACAGAGACACATGGCGCAGGGTGGCGGTGGATGCAGCAGTATTCGGAAGCCAAACACAGGCCTCGTCGGTTAAAAAGCGGAAGCCGTCAGCAGCGTGAGCAGAGACACAGAGGCACATGGCGCAGGGTGGCGGTGGAGGCAGCAGCAATGGAAGGCCATACAGCACCCTATCACAAAATGGAACCCACCAACAGTGTAAGGAGACCTGAAAGTGGCACATGGCAGAGTCTGGCGATGAAGTCAGCAGCAATGGGAGGCCGTACAGGGACCCATGACACACTCTGGACCTGGCAGCAGCAAGAGGAGGCGGTACAGGGGCCCATGGCAGAGTGGCGAAGCGTAAGCAGCTTAAATTGAAGGCCATACAGAGGCCTATGTTAAAAAGTCCCCCCAGCAGCAGCAGCAGTGTGTGGGGAGACGACTATCAAGTCCAATGGCAGAGTGGCGGAGCAGCAGAAGCAGCTTCAATTGAAGGCCATACACAGGCCTAGGTTAAAAAGTCCCCCCAGCAGCAGCGTGGGGGAGACGACTATCAAGAGTCCAATGGCAGAGTGGCGGAGCGGAAGCAGCTTCAATTGAAGGCCATACACAGGCCTAGGTTAAAAAGTCCCCCCAGCAGCAGCAGTGTGGGGAGACGACTATCAAGAGTCCAATGGCTGAGTGGCGATCCGGGAAGTCAGCGTTGTGATTGCAGATGCAATGCAGAGATTCTATGAGGTGATGCCGTGGGTGCGAAGAAGATCATATATACCGTCGTACTTCCATCCATAAGACGGAACAACCTGCGAACCGGGAGCTTTATTGCCCTGACCCGCTGAGCAGCTTCTGGGATACCCAAGAGGCCCATGGCAGAGTGGCGGAGCGTAAGCAGCTTCAATTAAAGGCCATACAGAGGCCTATGTTAAAAAGTCCCCCCCAGCAGCAGCGTGGGGAGACGACTATCAAGAGTCCCATGGCAGAGTGGCGGAGCGGAAGCAGCTTCAATTGAAGGCCATACACAGGCCTAGGTTAAAAAGTCCCCCCAGCAGCAGTGTGGGGAGACAACTATCAAGAGTCCAATGGCTGAGTGGCGATCCGGGAAGTCAGCGTTGTGATTGCAGATGCAATGCAGAAATTTTAAGAGGTAATGCCGTGGGTGCGAAGAAGAGATCATATACCGTCGTACTTCCATCCATAAGACGGAACAACCTGCGAACCGGGAGCTTTATTGCCCTGACCCGCTGAGCAGCTTCTGGGATACCCAAGAGTTTGGCTTCTGTGGGGAATATGGTTGAAAACTGAAACTTAAAGGCATGTTGACGGAAGGGTACCAGTGTCAGTGCTCCGGAGGGAATATAGCTTCAAAGCTGACACTTAAAGGTATATCGACGGTCAGAGACCACAGGAAGTGGAGCTTGCGTCTTAAATCGACTGAATGTGGCAGACGTGAAACGTCTATGGGCCGTATATGAAACGGGGTTGTTCCTCTTTCTGGAATAAGTGTTGGAAATGGCCACTCTCTTTTTGGTGTGGGCGTTTTGTCTATTTAATTCCGATAACGGACTCTACTCCTCCGTGCAATCTAGTTACGAGACCCTGGGCAGGTCTGGGTCCAATTTGTGGTAGAGACTGGTTTTGTTCAGCCATGCTTGAGCGAGTAATAACAGGTCTGTGCTGCCCTTTGGTGTCTGGCTTAATGCGCACAACACTGAACGTCCCAGCATTTGTCAACGATTTGCCGTTAAGTGATGCAAACCCGCTGAACCACGTTCATGAGGAGCCGGTACAGGTGGCCATGAATCAGTATGGACCTGGCAGCAGTGTGAGGAGACCCGAAAGTGGCACATGGCGCAGGGTGGTGGTGGTGGAGGCAGCAGTATTCGGAAGACATAACACAGGACTAGTTTAACCCCTTCACGCCTAAGGGGTAAAACAAATCTAAATGCCTAAGCACAAATTCTGCAACGTTGACGTGTTAGTAAAACCGTACATATCGTCACAACTACTTTGTACATCCAGGTGGATTATACCTTGTTTTTTTCAGGACAAATTGGGCTTTCATTTGGTGGTAAATGGTCATGGATAGCTCCTAATTTTTTTTTTATTATTAAAGGAAAACTGGGCCAAAAAATAGTAAAAAAAAATCATTTTTTTAAATTTAACTGTGTGTTTCTTGTTACGACCATAACCTACCACCAAAGAACAACTCAAAATACATTCTCCAGTTCTTGACGATCGCAGCGATACCATATATGTGTATGTTATTTGTTGTTTTGTACCCGTAGTACAGTCCAGAAACAACAGTGCGCATTTTGTTTTTGTCTTTTTTTTTTATATATAAAACACACTGTCACTGACATTGACATTAACACTAACTGACACTGATACCAATTTTTTTTTTAAATCCTGACCTTTGACCCTGACCTTTGCCCTTGACCCTGACCTTTGACCCTGACCTTTGACCCTGACCTTGACCCAAACACTAACCCTGGTACTGAACTAGATCAAACCTTGATCTAGGTATTTTTCTTTATTTTTTCTTTTATTTTTTAATATTTATTTATCTTTTTTTTTTTTTTTACAAACTTTTTTTTTCTCTCTCTGTGTCAGGAGTTCGAGAGATACAATGTATCTCTCTTCTCCATTCATAGAGAGAGAGAAAACAAGGGGGCCGGGCTGCACAGTGATTGATCACTGTGATAGCCAATCAGAGGCTATCACAGCGATCACGTGACCCGGAATCGGGAGTCCCGGGTCCCGATCGTTAGAATGGGACCCGGGGCTCTCAGTGACACCGCGGTCTTGGTGCTGGGAGCGAAGCCGAGCGGCGCGCTCCCAGCACAAAGACAGGTACGCAAATATTCGGCCCCACGGAAAAAAAGCCCAGGCATGGCAGAGGATGGATCTGGCAGCAGTATGAGAAGGCGGTACAGGGGCCCGTGGCACAGTGTGGTGATGGGGGCTACAGCAACTGGATGCCAGAAAGTGACCGATAGGGCTATATACTGCATGGAATTATAAAGTTGTAAAGACAGCGGCCTATAAGGCTATACACACTATAACAATCATGACTTGATTGACCATTGGCCTATAAGGCTATACACAGCATGAATATCATGACTTATTCTGAGAGTGGTTTGGAAGGCTATATACAAAAAGTAATTCATGAGCTGTCCGGACAGCGGACAATAAGTATATATATACAAATCAATTCATCAGCTGTCCAGCCAGCGGCCTCAAAGGCGACACATATAGAAAGCAATTCATGAGCTGTTCAGACAGCGGCCTCTAAGGCGACAGATATACAAAGCAATTCCCGAGGTGTTCAGGGAGCGGCCTGAACGGCTAGGTTATTACTAAATATATTTTTGTGGCCAAACATCGGCCTATAAATAGATGTCTACACAGTGACAAAAAATTATGTCGCCAGACAGCGGCCCCTAAGGCGACAGATATACAAAGCAATTCCCGCGAGCGCACAGGGCCCACAGTGTCTGAGGATGGACGTTGGCGCAGAAAGGCAGAGACCAACTGACTACATAGGTGGTTTTTATAGTACTTTATTTTGGCCTCCCTCTCTCTCAGCAGGTGTGAAAAAGGCCACCATTTTTGAACGGTAGCGAGGGTCCAACAAGGTGGACAGCCAAAAGTCATCCCTCTGTCTGATGGTTATTATTCGGCTGTCGCTACGCAAGCAACCGAGCATGCTATGGGCCATTTGTGCCAAGGAATGCGAGGGACTCCCTGCCTCCATCTCCACAGCATACTGCCACGGTGCGTCTGGGTCCTCTGTCTCCTCCTCCTCCTCTACCAGATGCTCCTGCTGCTCCTCCACTCCTGTCCGCTGAGTGGAAAAACCACCCATTTCACTCAATAATTCCTGAGCACCAATGTCCTCCTCTACCTCCTCCTCTTCTTCCTGTCCTGCCCCCACAGGGGTCATGTGGCGTTGAGATCTGTGCGCCACGTCTACCGCACCCTGACCAGCCATTGTTAACAGCATTTGTTCCAGGACGTGCAACAGAGGAATGACGTCGTTCATCCCATAGTCCTGCCGACTCACGAATAGCGTGGCCTCCTCAAAGGGCCTGAGCAAGCGGCAGGTGTCACGCATGAGCTGCCAATGGCTGACATCTAAGTTACACAGGGGAGTACCTTTATCCGCTTGTAACATCAGGAAATCGGTGATGGCCTTTCGCTGTTCGTAAAGGCGGTCTAACATATGTAGGGTTGAATTCCACCTTGTTGCAACGTCGCAGATCAGGCGATGCTGTGGAATTCCGTTCTGCCGCTGCAGCTCAAGGAGGGTGTGCTTTGCGGTGTAGGAATGGCTGAAATGCATGCAAAGTTTACGTGACATTTTAAGGATGTCTTGCAGTGGGATGGTGGATTTTAGGAACCGCTTGACAACCAGATTGAACACGTGAGCCATGCATGGCGCATGGCACAACCTTCCTTGACGCAGAGCAGACACCATGTTCTTTCCGTTGTCGGTCAACATGGTTCCGATTTTCAGTTTGCGCGGAGACAGCCATCTGTCGATTTCTCTGTTCATTACACTCAGAAGTTCCTCCCCTGTGTGACTACGTTCGCCAAGGCATACCAGGTGCAGCACAGCGTGACACCGTTGCGCCCTGCACATGTGATATGCCGGTCGGGTAATGGGACTTGGCACGGGGGGGGGGTGGCGGCTGAGGACACGGCGGAAGAAGAGGTGGTAGAGGCGGACATCTTTGCTGGACCAAGGACGTGCAAACGTGGAGGCAAAAGCGGCGTGACCTGTCCAAGTTGCTGGTGCGGCTGTGCCGGCACCACGTTCACCCAGTGGGCCGTAAATGACATGTACTGTCCCTGACCGTAGTTACAGCTCCACACGTCGGCGCTGCCGTGCACTTTGGCAGAGACCGACATGCTCAAAGACTGGCCCACCATCTCTTCTACATGTGAATGCAGGGCTGGCACTGCCTTTTTGGCGAAGAAATGCCGGCTTGGCACTCTCCACCGCGGCTCGGCACAAGCCATCATTTCTCGGAAAGGTGCTGAGTCCACCACTTGGAAAGGGAGGGACTGCAGCACCAGCAACTTGGACAGGAGGACGTTCAGCTTCTGCACCGTCGGGTGCGTGCTCGCAAACTGTTGTCTCTTGGAAACGGATTCCAAGAAAGACTGCTGACGGAATCCGTGAAGAGGAGTAGCAGGAGAAGGAGCATCTGAACGAGCGGAAGATGCCAACGAGCGACAACTCCCCTCAGCAGAGGTGTTGGAGCCTTGACTGGCTGATAGAGGGCGATTGACGTCGGGTGACGGAGCAAGTAACGGAGCGGGTGATGGAGCGGGGGCTGGGGCAGGCAGAACCGCCGTATCTTTATCACGGTTTTCCCAGGCCACCGAATGGCGACGCTGCATATGCTGACGCAACGCTGTAGTCCCAACATTGGCCCCCTGGCCACGCTTGACTTTCTGGCCACATAGTCGACATACGGCTACGTTTACTTCCTCGGGCGGCTTGACGAAAAATTGCCACACCGCCGAGTAGGAAACTTTGCCCCCGCTACTCCTCACTGGCTGACTGCTACTTCCTCCGTGCACACCGGCACCACTACTGGCCGTGGTGGTAGGCTGCAGTGGAGCTGGTGCTCTACTCCGTGGCCGTTTGGCTCCACTGACACTGCTGCGACCCTGCTGCCTCCTGGGCAACCCACCGACTGTTTTGCTCGCTGGCAAGCTGGCACCCTCTTCTCCTGATGATGCGGAAGCAATAGCCTGATGACGACGAGGCTGCCAAGTGCGATCAGCCTCATCATCATCAATTAGGGTCTCCGCGTCACTACTAGCCCCCTCGGCTGCGTGTGGGTCAGGAGACAGACCTGTCTCTAGACCGGCTACCGAGCCACTCTCCTCGCCAGTACTTCTTCGCCTGGCTGCTGAAGAGGCGGATGTCTCCCCCCGTTCCTGACCGCCCTCTGTTAGCTCTTCCTCACTGTACAGTGGGGCTGAGCCCACAGCATGCGATACTTCGCTTGGTGAGGGAACACCAAAGGACAGGGGCAGGTCGAGGACACGTGATTTCAGTGGGCTTGCTCCCGGGCCATGCCAACTAACGGTTGTGTCTGACGTACCCACCGACCGTTGGCTGTAGGTGTCAGAGGTGACCTGGGAAGAGGAAGAGGAAGACGACCGAGTCAACCAATCGATGACGGCAGGGCAGGGTTGTCGGTGGAGACACGACCGCTGGATGACACCGGGAGCACTGGCCTCTGGCTGCGACTAGTGCTGCCTCGACCCCTTCCTCTGCTGCCACGTCTGCTCGCTCCTGAAACATTGCCTCCTCTGCCACTCCTCTGCGTGTTGTCTGACATACTCTTTAATTCAATAAGCACCCCAAAAAAAAAAACGGATTTAACTCTTTGAACGTACAATAGTGGTTGTGAAGCAGAAAGTCAGTTTATTTAGCACAATCGGTCAATTGCAGCTTGCCGTTGGCTGGAAACTGTACGTTTATGTCACTGGAATGCACTAATCACCCAAAAAAATATTACCGCCACCCGGCGTGTAAATGGATTTAACTCTTTGAACGTACAATAGTGGTTGTGAAGCAGAAAGTCAGTTTATTTAGCACAATCGGTCAATTGCAGCTTGCCGTTGGCTGGAAACTGTACGTTTATGTCACTGGAATGCACTAATCACCCAAAAAATATTACCGCCACCCGGCGTGTAAATGGATTTAACTCTTTGAACGTACAATAGTGGTTGTGAAGCAGAAAGTCAGTTTATTTAGCACAATCGGTCAATTGCAGCTTGCCGTTGGCTGGAAACTGTACGTTTATGTCACTGGAATGCACTAATC